AATTTCCTAGGTCCAGAATCTAAGAAGTGAGATTATCAGATTTGTTAAAAATTAATCCAGAAGAATAATGAAGGACAGGTATGGGATCTGGACAAGTTACCTGCTGTGAAGGGCATGGGCTTGATATAAGTTCCATGGAGCTCAGAGGTTGGCTGTTGCATCCCTGGCAGAAGAGGTGTTGTTAAAGTATAAAGTAGTGCTGGTAATGATGTGTCCTAAGAGGCAGGAAAGTTTTCAGCCACATGGTAAGTTTTTAAAATTTGTGTTTTCATCCAATACGATACACTCTCCACCTAATTTGAACTGTGTTGTTCATTCTGTAGCTATGACTTCACACCGATGGACTCGTCTGCAGTCTATGTGCTGAGCAGTATGGCTCGTCAGCGCCGTGCGTCTTTGTCTTGTGGAGGACCTGGTGGTGCTCAGGAGTTCGCAGGCTCTGAATTCAGCAAAAGTTGTGGTTCCCCTGGATCATCGCAGCTCTCCTCTGATTCTCTGTATGCTAAAGCTGTCAAAAGCCACAGCTCAGGGACTGTGAGTGCCACTTCTCCTAACAAGTGCAAAAGACCAATGAATGCCTTCATGCTTTTTGCCAAAAAATACAGAGTTGAATACACTCAGATGTATCCAGGGAAAGATAACAGGTAAATAGTAATAACACAAGTACGATTACTGATGTGTTGGTGCAGTTGACAGTAACTGGGGCAGGGAAAATAAACTTAAAGAGCTCTTGTTGACTTCTTTCCATTATCTTAGGATAGCTTTAGATACTTTGTTTTTATAATACATAGTTACACAGACTACCTTCAGGAGAAGGAGCTCTCTTTGAAAATAACAGTAAGTTTGATGGTTGATGTTTTGTAGAAAAGACTAGTATAGTACTTGTGTCAGATTTGGAGAGTTATGTAACCAAGCTTCACTGTGGGACCTGAAGCATTGACACTTTATGTATTCTTTAGGATCATAAATGAAAAGATAATAACTTTAATACAGATTGTATTGTCTCAGTGCAGTTAATTCTAAATATCACCTACATTTTAGAAAGAAGTTTTGCTTTCCAACTACATCTAAGTTGATGTGTTTGTACAAAATGACCTTGTCCTGGTATTTGGTAATTTCTTAGAATTGGAATTCAGGGCTGCCAAGGCTAAGTAGTGAGACCCTGTAATTTTTTTTAAAAAAATTTATATTGGAAATAGTCTCTGGTCAATTGGAAAGCATTTTAAGAATAACTTAGCCCACCTGCCCTCCTTTTCTGTGATGGCCATGCGTGAGAACTCCTGACAGGTATAGGTGTGCGGCTCTTGCTTGTTAGAAGTAGCACCTGTGCCCTTGTGCCGTATTAACAAGCCTGTGGCAGTCGAGTGCTGATACTTTTAATTCTGGAGGAAAGGACTTGCCTAAGAGTAGATATCTTATCAGAGATATCTCCCATACGGCCCATAACTACTTGGTTTTGCATTTCAGTATTGTTACCACGAGATTGACATATCACTCGTCTAATATGAAAGGATGATTGATAAAAATATTTTTTTATTTTGGACTTTTTTCTTCTATAGAGGTAGATTTTTATTCCATGAATAAAGAAGTTCTTATTTAGGGGTAGAGTGTAGACTAAAATGAATAGATTAGAGAGATACTTAGCCAGTTGGCATAAACATTAATCTGGCTAAAAAACTCTGAGAGGAGGGAGTATAGATTCTAGTGTCCTGCATGGTGTTCATCACGTCACCCACCATGTTTTAACTTAAGACATTCTAACTTCGGGAGACTGAGATGGTTGTGTGCCTATTTCATGTAAATTGGTTTTAAATAAAATACAGCACATCAGTTGCTTTCAATCACATACATATGCTTACTAATTTTACTAGCAGCACTCCTGTGGGTTACTGTCATCCTGAAGCACTGATGTATCATCTTTATTAATCAGTACAGAGATTATCTTTGTAGACTGTAGTTGCCTCAGGGTTCTCGTGTGATTTATATCTGCATATTCTGGATGAGATTACTTTAAAAGGTTTGGTATCAGAGTAACTAGAAAAAATAGGAAAATGTCAGCATTTTGAATTTAGTCCAATGTCTCACATGCTAAGTACAAATCTGATTTAAAGTGTACTTTTTTATCATTAGACATAAACTAAGGCAAAGGAGTCTCTCTCACTCGGCGTGCGTTTGTGGGGGCGGGGGGGGGGGCTTTTATCATAACCATGGTAGTTTGAGTAACTGCACAAAACAAATCCTTAATACAAGTTGACTGTCTTAGCTGCAATACTGAACGTTTCTTGGGAAATACCCAGATTTTAGCCATTTTGGATATCTTGGAGCAAATACTAATACTGGCACTATCCACCCAGGATTTTGATAAATGGGCATCTGTGGCAGGGTTATTGCTGAAATGACTGTAATAGCCCTTCTCTATGTTTTTTACATTTTTGCCTGAAGTGGCAGCAGTTGGTATTGCTATGAAAATCTTACATTATGTTAATATTTATTTTCTAGAGCCATTAGTGTGATCCTTGGTGACAGGTGGAAGAAAATGAAAAATGAGGAAAGGAGGATGTATACATTAGAAGCAAAGGCTTTGGCTGAAGAACAAAAGCGTTTAAATCCTGACTGTTGGAAAAGGAAAAGAACCAATTCAGTATGTGTTAGAAATGACTGCTTTATCGTGATTCTGTGTGCCCTGTGTGCATGTTGGCATGTCAGCCTTTAAAGATGTCACTCACCATTATTATCACACTGTTGTTATACTTCAAACCCATCAGCAAAGCTTGCCTCGAGAATCACTTATGGCAAGCAAAATCTGACTAGCTTAAGAATGTCCTACGTAGCCGGGCGGTGGTGGCGCACGCCTTTAATCCCAGCACTCGGGAGGCAGAGGCAGGTGGATCTCTGTGAGTTCAAGACCAGCCTGGTCTACAGAGCTAGTTCCAGGACAGGCTCCAAAGCCACAGAGAAACCCTGTCTCGAAAAACCAAAAGAAAAAAAAAAAAAAAAAAAGAATGTCCTACGTGCTGAGGTGAAAGATAGTTTTGGAATATAATATTTCTAATTTGGTTAAAAGATGGACACCAGGCTGGGCAGTGATGGTGCACGCCTTTAATCACAGCATGCAGGAGGCATAAGCAGGAGAATCTGTGTAAGTTAGAGGCCAGCCTGGTTTAGAGTGAATCTGAGGACAGTCATGGATACAGAGGGACTCTGCCTCTAAAAACAAGTCAATCCATCAATAAACGGGCACCATTAACTCAATCATTAATATTACAGAAGAAAATTTGTCTAATTCTTAGTGTCTTGCCTCAGACTTACTCGTAAATAACATCTATGCAGATATCTGCCATTGGCAAAGACTGCTGGATTAAGAATCTGAAGAAATAAGAATGGTGGAAAATAAGTTTCACAGTACAATCTTGGTTGATAGACTCCATTCTTGTAATTGTTGACTAGCATTTTTTACATTATTTACCCAAAAAAAGCATAGGATAGAATGAGCTCGTGTTTAAATGAAGAGATGGTGTGAATAGTTATCAGGAAGAGGCTCATTAAGGATGTTTTAATCTAGTCCTATATAATTTGTAGGTTAAACAGCTCAGGGACTTACTTTAAGGTAATATTAAGCTGCCAAAAGTAGTTGAACTATAATGTACAAGTTCGTTTGGTGCTTTCTTGGTGTGTGTATGTGTGCGCGCTTGTGCGCGCTTTTGTGTTCTGTAGGCAAGGTCTCTACCAGCTGAGTCACATGTCCATTTCCCACAGGTTCTCTATTGTTTGGAACTTCATATGAGAGAGACATTACCTGTTTGACTTTTCTGCTCTCACATTTGTATATGTTTTCCAGATACTTGAGCCATGAGGAAACTTTGAAAATCTTCACAGTAAATTTATGAACATCTGAGCTTACCCTGCAAGGTTACCATGCATTGTTTTGTAAGCATTCATTGTTTATTTCCACAGGGCTCTCAACAGCATTGAACCTGATGCTTGTGTTTGTAAGCCTGTCTGCATAAATACTGACTCTGGATGGAAAAGCCTGGAAGACCTTGGTCTCACCTTTAGTCCTGAATTTGCGTGACCATAAGATACTGATAGCATTGAGTCCTGAAATGATTTAATGAGTGAGGATTTGCTTTCTCCATTAGAGCATTAAGTAAGCTACAACTATCAACATTGTAAACCAAATTGCCTTATTTTCCTTCCAAACTTCATATATGTCTATCAGGTAATATAGGCTTGAAAATTGATATCCTGTGGTGCTAAAGTACAGTAGAAAGATGTGTATACATGTTTTAAATTGTACGAAGGGGAATTGTAACTGCTGTTTATACATCAGCTCCTTACTGCTTATTAATCTGTATTGTACCCACGATATCAGGAATGAAGCAGAAGCTGGCCTTTTCATGAGTAGCCGCCACATGGCCCAGCATCTGTGCCAAACACAGTCGCTTCTAGTCTGGCCAGTGCCAAGAGACAACATAACATGGCAGGTAGATGGTGTCATTGTCCTAGCTAAAAGAGCCACCTGCTTCAGATACCATGGGCATGTGCTGAGTGGATTCACCAGGGGGCAGCACTCCTCCATGATTCCCAGTGGGGGCCAGACCCGGCCAAGGTGCAGTTAGTTAATAGCATTGGGTAGTCACTGTAATGGTGCTGTTAACAGTCGACACCATTGTATCTTCATGTTCTCCTCAGCCACACATCGTACTAGATTTGTCATCCTGTCTATGGTGGGGCAGACTTTGCACTTACTGCAGTGCAACCCTTGCACTTTACTTCCCTCCAGCTTCTAAAATAGAGCAAGTCCTTTGCAGTGCAGCTGCTTTGCTCTGAGCTACAATCATGGCTTCTCATGTTACTTACCAAGTGGTATTTTTGGTTAGGAATCACAGCTGTAAAGTTGATTTCAGTCATCACACTTCTTCAACATGTTGCCCCTCAATTTTGCACACTATATTCTTGTATATTATTTGAAATAAAATGAAAAAAGTCTCTGATTTCTTGATTGACTGAATTTATGTATAACTATAAGAATAAATTTGACCAGCAGATGGAAAACATTGGTGTTATAATTAGGTTTCTGGTAGGATTTTAAAAATTAAAGAATGTTAGTAATGGAGTAAAGACAATAGAAAATTAAGGACTTATATTTATAGAGAACCTTTGTAGAAAAGAAAATTTTAATTTTTAACTTGTCCTTGTTCCAAAGCCCAAGTGCCTGTTTCTAATAAAATGACACAGTATAAAGGAAACCCTGGCTTCATTTAAAGTGAAGGACACTGGACCTGACAGCATCAGTGTCTCTTTCAGGATGGAGTCCTCTGTCAGGTGTGCACCCAGAGCTCCCCAGCAGTGTGACTCCAGCGTGAGATTTGAAAATCCCTGCATTGGTTGGGGAAGCAGGGTGAGCTGTTCTTGTCCCTTTAGCAGTGATATAGAATCATTTGCACAACGGCACAAAAACCCACATAATTATTTTGCATTGTTCAAAAATCTGAAAAAGAAAAAAAAATGGTAGGTATCTTTATGAAGAAAATCAGATACGTACAATTTAAAGTTTGTGATGATCTATTATGGCATTGTAACGTAGAAGAACTAGAGTAACAAGGAAAGATCAATAGGAAATGCAAAAATGACTATGGTCTTTAGTTGCTGGTTGCCACCTTTTTACATGGGTTGGTGCATGGAGACTGCACATCACTGAAGAGTAGACATAGCCTTTTGAAGCAGCTGGACCATAATGGGATAAACTGGTGCAAATTCTTTGCCTTCTCTGCTTCTCACTGATTGAACATAAGCTTCCAGGGCTCCCCTGGGAATGCAAAAGAAAACTGTCAAAATATCGCATAGAATCAATGTTTCGGCAGCAGCAATATGAAAACAACGTATCTGCCCCTTTCTGAAATTAACTCTGCCCAGAGCCACAGACCAGTACTTCAAACGCGGTACAAAGTACAGTAGTTAGGCAAGTTGGATTAGGGTTAGCTGTGGCCAATTTAATCTGTTAGGCATTTCAGTACATGTGTTTCTCCATGTCCATCCTGAAGTTCTGTGAGAACATGTGGGTGGACCTTGTGCTTGTTCGTGGAGTTAAGCTAGAGGAGAAAGCACCATAAGCACACACAGTAAGACTGGAAGCTACAGCATTTTAGGGCTCTTAGCTTTTGGCAGGTCCGTGACGAGGAGTCTGAACTTAGGCTAGTGTGTGGTACCTCAGGGTTACTTCCTTGATATTCTTCTCAATTGCCCCTGGGACAGGTATCAGCCATGGCAGTAACATTCACAGCCCTGGGCTACTCCCTTCACTAGGGCCATTTTCCCCGGCCACAGCAGAGTTGTAGGGGTAGCCCCAAAGTTTACAACTGGTCTCCACAGGAAAACTTGTGCATCTCCAGCTGGTCAAGCTACAAGAATGGTTTGTACTTCTTTATAAAGAGAAATCCCAAACCCTGGAAATGTGGTCAGGCGTGTTCTTGCTTAGCCTGCTGGGGGCTGTCTCTGGCCCATCTGCCTTTCGGATCTGAAATAACACTTGGATCTACCCCAAATGCTTAGCACTGTTCACTGGTCTTTTTAAGCCCAGGAAACCAGTGCTGAAACTCATTACTGTCTCTATGCAGTTATCATGGCCTCATACTCATCCTGTTTCCACGTTTGTCCCCCACCCCTGTAAAGCTGCCGGCACTTCTGAGATGGTCATCCTAGTACTGCTTCTCCAGCGTCACTAGCTATCCCTTGTGCAAGAGGATGGTACCCAAACAACCCAGCTGTGTGATAAACCGCTGCCCAGCCCTTTATGCTGCTTGGGCTTCTTGACAGTTTGGTGTAGTCTAAAAACGGCCTGAAAATGACCTGTTTTTACTCACTACTGGCAGAGTCCATTGCCCAGTCAGAGAAGAGACCAAGATATTTTTCCACTTAGAAACAGGAAGTCTCTCCCAAGATAGGCGTTGGCAGAGGGCGTTTGGTTTAATGCCACCCCACGTACTCAACAATTAAAGAGAAGCATTCTGCTTATCTGAACATCACCATGAGATGAATGCCCTTTCTTGTGTTGTCCCTGGACAGTTATTATTTAGGACCCAGCTTTAAACGTTTCCTTTGGCATAAAACCCTTCCTAACAGCAGGCGGCAAAAATTACCCTGGAGTCACAGGTGTATATAAAGGCCTGATTACACAGTGCCCAGCATCCTTAAATTCCTGGCGTCATGCTGTCTTTTAGCTCTTATGGAAGTATGGGCAGGCCATTAAGAAGCCAGCTTCTCAACAGCTAGGTGGCGGTGGTGATACTCTGGAGGCAGAGGTAGGTGAATCTCTTGAGTTTGAGGCTAGCCTGGGTTTCAGAATGAGTTCCAGGACACCCAACACAGAAACCCTGTCTCAAAACAACAACAAACCCAGCTTCTTGTAGCCTCAAGTCCCATTAAACAATTCTTATTATCAAAGAGTGGAAGTCAGTGTTCGTAGAAAGCAGTATTTATGAAATGTTCCAGTGCAGCCTATCAAAGCCAACCCTTAGTTATTTCTCCATGAAGAAAATGTTCTTTTCCAATTGCCATACTCATTCAGGCAGGTGCCCCAACTCCACAGATGTCCTGAGAGATACTGTAGAGTAAGCTCCAAGGGTTCAGGCATCCCTGAGGCAGTGGGGTGTGCATGCATGTGTGTGTGCAATACAGTTTACCAGTCTAAAAAAAGTATGGGGAACCTTACAAATGAATGTTGCAGAGTAGACACATTGTATCCATTCTGTTTACAAAATGCACTTGAAAAGCAACGGCAGTCTCTTGCATTCGTAGTGATATGTTACAGTGCATAGACGGAGGCTCAAAATAAGTTTGGTTACACTTTTCTCTTGATACACATCAAAAAACACAGAACTATAGTACTGCCCTCCCACATAAAATCAGGGTAAGGTTTCAAGCACTTATTAAATTATTTCATTTGCTTCGGCAAAACATTAGCTTTCTTGGAAGTGAGGCCAAGAATTATATAAGAGGCTTGTTTGTAACCAAATAAGATTGCTGAAGTTATCCTCGGTGAAGAAAAGCAGTGACCATAAGTACTGAAGGACTGGCTTGCATTAACAGGATACACTATCACGTGACATGTCAAGTAGATATTTGTCAGGCATTAAAATTCATTCTGATCAGTACTTACAACCTAAGTAACCTCCTATATCTTTCCCTGGTTTAGCAGTTCCTTATATATATCGATCTCAGGCACTTAGTGCCTAGAACTGGATCTCCTGGCAGGGATAAGCACAAGGAGGCACCTAACGTTCCTTTCCATACAGACATTTTAAGGCTTTTAGAAATAGACAATCGGGGAAAATGGGTCCTAGCCTATGGGTTCTGGACAATGGCAAGAAGCCTAAGGGTTCACAGATTCATATGGTACCAAATGTTTTCTTTAGCAATAGGTAAATGTGCCATACAGCTGATGAAGTCTAAATGGTTTCCACCTAAATGTCCTCAAAGGACTACAGTTAGACGCATCACTTCTTTCCTGCAAATACTAAGATACACAGGTCTGTGGTAGAGCCAACCATTTCTGCAGACCTTAGGGAATCTCTGAATACAAACTGATGTTTTGTCTTCAGCGAAAGCATGGTCTGAGCCAGGTGGCCACCTCTGCACTGGAGCCCACATGTCTGGAGCACCTTCCTGGTGGCTAAGCTGGTACACAGCTCTCACCCCCCCCCCCATTTCCCCACATGGCCCGGATCAGTGATTGCTCTGACTTTCAAGTCAACTTCACTGTTACCTATTCAAGTTCCAGAAAAATACCTAATGTCAAATGGTGACAGAGAACAGGAACTCACCATTTGCAATCTATTCTGCAGCCATACTTTACTACTGAACACTGTGCCCTATTTCTAACAGCCTAACAGATGACTGGGAGGAGCAGAACGAGGCTCCCCCAAGGCTTGCTTCCAAAGCTGAAGGAAATGCTGACATCAGACCAGCGTTTGCCCTGGGTCTGTCTACAGGGTGAGAATCATCCAGTGATGCTCTGGCAGGCTGGGTCATAATTCATCTTGAGGTACCAGATAGAAAAGCATAACCTCTCAGACAAAGGCCCTTCCTTGCCAAGAGCCAGGTTGCTGTGGCAGTGGTTCCTGTGGATCCCCAGGCAGCTGCACTTCCTGCTTGAGGCAAGAAGGGTCTGGGCTCTGCAGGTAGAGGGATGGTGAGAGGCAGCTCTTAGGATCATGGCTGTCACTTGCTAAGGATGGGCTTAGCAACAGCACTGCTGAGAGGCATTTTAAAAAGCAGCAGTGGAACAGATCTGTGATCACCCAAAGCAGGACAGCCTTGTGGATGAGCTCATTCCAAGTCGTTAACATGACAAAATCAAGCCCTGCTGAATCCTCTCTTATTACCAAGTACACTGAAGCTGAGTGACTTTGGGGACTAAGAAAAAAAAGTCAGAGACATTGCAAGTCAACAAGTTAGAGGAGACCCAAATTCCCTCACGTGGGAGGCCTGGGTACTGACAGGAAGCTCACCCAGCAGCCTTTCCCGTTTTGGGGTCAGCTTCCTCTTAATGAAAGAAAGCCCAGCTCATGTTCCTTGCCCCACACAGGTTTCCTAAGGCTCCTACACCACACCTGTGGCTTGGTGCCATTCTCAGAAGCTGATGGGCTGGTGTTTCCAATGAGATCTGGGCTTCTTCAGTGGGGTCCTTTACCTAAAAACTGCACCAGTAGGTGGCACCTTCTTGGCACACAGCTGAGAATGACCTCCATATGTCTCACACCTGCACTGAGGATCAGATGGCCTAGCTGGTCTGCCATATATCCACAGACCAAGAATGGCAGGTAGAGAATAGCTTCAGTTAAAGAGCGATGCTCGTTGGCACTAGAGAACGAGGTGACAGGCTGACTCATGATGACCTAGTTGTTCCCTGGCATGGCTGGGTAGATGACGGTGACCTCCCATGACAGGGGATACAGGGAAGTAGGTGTGTGAGGGACGATTAAATTACAACAACTGGGGGTGGGGGGCTGAGAGCAAGTGCACCAGCCTAAGGTTCCATGCAGGTGAATCCCAGATTTGGGCTTTATGGGGGTGAGTGCACCAGCTCAACTGGGGATGGAAAATCTATACAGACTGAGACAAAAAAGCGAGAAACAAAATGTGGGCAATGACATTTAAGAAAAAGATAAAAGGCAGCAATTTAGCAGGTGGAATGGGATGGGGAAAGAGACCAGAAAAGCAGAAACAGGTGAAGCTGAGAGAAGACGGTGCCACTTCGGAGCTCAGCCCCACATGCCAATAAAGTCTGCTGAGTCAGCTGAGCTAAAGCCTTTCTATGGAAGGCTTCATAAGGGAGAACTGATGGGAAAACATGCTCAAGTTGCACACACAAATGCCCCTCACCATGCTCATGGCTGGAGATGTGCACATGCACTTGGGCATAGGTGCACACAGAAATGTATTCTCAGACCACGTGGACCAGAGAATGTGTGGCATCTAAGTAGATTCTCAGTGGTCCTTTCCTGCCAAGAACTGTTACTGTTCAAATTTCACTCACATCTGAGTGCTGCCATTTCAGTGAACACAGCACATGAAAACGACAGAAAATACAGAGCCAACGTGAATCCTTTTACAGCTGGAGCCTGTGCTCTAGAGTTGTATCAGGCATCGGCCAGCACAAAGGAGGGTGTGAAGGTCTGAAGAACCAGAGCCCTACAGCTGCCAGTACCTTGCAGAGCACGCGCAGTAACTATCCAAGCGGGCCATCTGACAATCACTGTCCCTTACCATCGCCACATCCCAGCCCAGACGGCAGCCCTAGAACACGCAGCTTTACCTGAGAAGGAGGAGCCTGTCCTTTTCAGATGGATGATCGTCCAGCCACTGGGAGAAGCGTGCATGGGACCACTCTGCCCTCTTCAGGGATGCCACCAGAGAAGAAAGTACATTCTTTAGCAAACACTGGCACAAATAGCAATTCATGACACTCAAGGTGAAATTACCTTCTGGACAGAGGAATTTCAGAACGTGGCACAGGCCTTCATGCAACTGATTACCAAAAAAACCTTAAGATTTGCCAACTGACATGGCCCAAACAGAGCTTTATGAATAGAAATTACTTGTGTCTGTTTTGTTTTGTCTGATAATGACGGTGATGATATTTGAAATGGGGTCTCACTCTGTAGTTCAGGCTGGCAAGGAAGTCATGGCAATCCTCTAGCTTCAGCTTGCCAAGTATTAAAATTAGAGGCATGGGCCACCTTAGTCAGCTGAGATATTTTTTTTAAAAGGGCTAACTCTGGACTCATAGGTAAATCTGACTCCCTGCTGTGAAAACATACGGGTCCCCGGAGTTCTCTTCCATCTCTGTTCACTTTCAGGGAGACATCCATGACCAAATAAAGCAGGGTGGCCAGGAGCCCGCTCAGTGAGGAGACTTAGGCTTGTTTACAAAGTGACTCAGAGAGAGCCCGTGATCACCTGGAAGGGGGACTTGAGCTCAGCGGGTGCTCGTGTGAACAGAAACTGAATGACGATGCTGAATGGAATCACATCCCCCACGGCCGGACTATCAGCCACGTGCTCACTCGTCTGGAAGAGCAGGGGCCTAGAAGGAAAACAGAGGCATTCTGCGTGAATATTCCTCCTAATTTTGCAGGCTGATTTACTTTAAGCTCTTTCCTTAACATCACTCATCAGTGGGTCTGATATTACTTCAGTGACACAGCAAAGTTTCTTGTAGCGTCATTTAATGAACAGGCTAAAATCAGCTGAAGCACAAAGTGACCCCTTCAAGTTGGTGTAAGTAGTATACTCTTAGTTCAGTCGATACATGTGGCTTTCATTTCATGTAAAACTCTTTTGACTATAATCTAACATGGGTCAACTCAACGTTTTCTATGTATTCATTCTAAGTGGAACTTGAGTCTCTAAATGCAAAGTCAATCTATGCCGGCTGCCTTCAGTTCTGAGTCTCTATCATAGGAGTGGTGGGAAGGGCAATCTACTCCTCTACCAGTGCTCGGCCACTCTGTGCCAACATCAGGCCAGGAAGGATGCAGTTGGCTGGCTGCAGAGGCTCACCTGGTAGCGCCAGTAGCAGCCACACTTCTCAGCAGTTCAGATGACTGACATGAACCATGGAACAGAGGCCTGTATCCTGGTCTCCTTCCTCAGTCACTTAAACAACACCAATGTATGAAAACAGGCAGGCCTATGTCAGCCATCTAAATGACACCACGTATGAAGGCAAGAAAGTTTACGTGAGACAGCCCAGTCCCCTCCTTCCTCTTGCTAATGGACATTTGTTCCAGGAGCCAGGAAAGTATGCTCAACAGACCCTTGATTTTTGTTGGAAACAAAAAAATTAGGAAAAGGTCCTTATAGAGATTATCCTATAAATGCAACCTACCCCTCCTGGCAACGTTTTCTTATCTAAACTGCTTATGAGAGTTAGTTTTGATTATCGATTTGATATAATGTGAATCACTAGTGGAGGGAATCTCAATGAGAACGGTCTGGATGGCATTGGACCATGGGCATGCCTGTGAAGGGTTTTCTTGGATTAACTGATGAGGGAAGACGTAGTGGGCACTGTTTCATAGGAGGAGTCCCATAAGGGCAGCAGAGCGCCCGCATGTCTGACTGTCGAGTGAAATGACCATTTCCAGTCCCTGTCACCATGACCTCCTGCAGTGACAGTGACAGAATAAACTGGAATTAAACCAAATCCTCCTCTCTTCAGTTGCTTTTGTCCTGGTAGTTTGTACTTTGGAACATTTCTGATAATTAGAACTATTCACCCTTCATGAGGTTACAGCTATGAAATTAAACTGATTAAAAAAAAAGGAAATCTATAATCAAAACGTAGTAAGTCATTTTTAATAACCCAAATATCAATTAAACTATCTTATCAAATACAAATAACTACAGATGAGCAACATTATCTAAGCAGTTTAAATATACCATTTCTGGTTAGTTAAAATACCCTCTTCTCTCAGCAACTGCCTTTAACTCAGACCATACTGAGTTGGTTATGCTGACAATAGGTATAATATTCCTATTTTTTATATGTCACATGTATGCCAGATACAGAGAGTGAAAAACTTAGACCTGGATCATGACAGCTGGAAGAGCTGGTGGTGTGGAAGGTTCGGTCTTTACTGCTCCTGGTGACTGTGTTCAGCCTACTCAGCCTCTCATCCCACGGATGAACACATTGGGACACAAAGCAATATTTGATCTTTGCATGCACAAATGTGATTGCTTGACCATCAAAAGAAACTGTGAACTGATGTTTTTGGAAAACAAACACCCAGCAAAACGTGTTTAACACTGTACAAGGCTGAGGGACTGGTTAGCATGGCTGACTATGGAGAGAAAGAATGTTCATGATGGCGGACAGTCTTGGGCCACCTTTAGCCCCTCAACGGTCATTTATTGTGTCCTCGTGACTATCAGGTCAGTCCTTTCAGACTTACCAGCAGCTCCCTCATTCTACCAACAAAAAGTCAAGATGTCATCAAGATAACCTCTGAGGCCTGTAACAAACAGTTCTGCTCTGCCCCAAAACGCACACCTGTGTCCAATCTACAGAAACTTTGTGAAATTGATACCATGTTAGAAGATGGTATTGGGGGCAACCTGAAGCTGTGTTCCTAGACCATGGCCAATTATATTTGGCTTTATTACTCTCATTGAAAATGAATTTTAAAAATTCCTATAGATGAAGAACACAAAGACTAAATAACACCATCAAGTATCACGAGTGAGCCTGAGTAAGCATAAGAAACCAGTGACTTTAAAGACAGTATCTAAAATAGTAGGTTATAAGAGCAGAATAAGAAGGAATAAAGAAAGCTGACAGGAATCAGGAAAAGAAAGGGGCTAGAAAATGTTTAAAGAAACAATGGGTCGGGGCTGGAGAGATGGCTCAGTGGTTAAGAGCACTGACTGCTCTTCCAGAGGTCCTGAGTTCAATTCCCAGCAACCATATGGTGGCTCACAGCCATCTATAATGAGACCTGGTGCCCCCTTCTGGCATACAGGCACACATGGAAGGAATGCTGTACACATAATAATAATAATAATAATAATAATAATAATAAAAAGAAACAATGGGTCAAATTTCCCCATATTAGACACCAGCCCTAGGTACAGGAAGCAAAGAGCTCTCTAAACCCAACCCAAAGAGAAGTTCATCAAGACACACACAGGAAGGTAGCTAAAGCCAGATACAAGTTCAGGGAATGAGACAGGAGGATCTCAGCACTGTTGGGAAGTGGGCAGGGTTAAGTGCTAAGAACAAACTTCCTCCTCAGCCTCCACACATTTGCCCCATTTCATTCTGACAGGAGAGCTAAGCAGCTGGTTTTATCTTCAGCTTCAAAAAATTAAAAGTCAAACCTAAAAGTAAGGAAGTTAATTTTGTGTTTTTTTGTGTGTTTTTCATAATTATTTTTCAGGATATTTTCAATGCAAACTACAAAGGATACAAGGGGTGAAAAGCAAGGAAGGAAGATTAGGACAAACAGAGGGATGGAGGTAGGCAGGGAGGAAACAGCGGGGCACACACACATGGGACGAGCTGTGTTTAGGAGGCTGACCCGGTCTAGCTGTTTTGGCAGTCAGCAACCTGTCCCTTTGGAGCTGTAAGCCACATAAGCTGTCCTTCTGCCAGACCAGAGTTCTGCACTGGTCACTAACAGCTGTCTAAAGAGCCCTGCAAGCAGTTCTGGGTCTGCATCTGCACTGGGCACCGGGCATACACTACCTCCTTCCAGGCAGCACCGCCTGGGCCCTCTCCAGGTGGGACCTGAAGCACCAACAAATTAAAAAAATAATCACCACCTGAAGTGCTTTACAAAAAGAATTAATTAAGGTGCCATGAAAAGCAGAAATTCCATACTGTCATTCTTAGAGATTATTTTAAATATAGCAGCACTTCCAAGGTTACACATTCTAGCCAGAAGGTAGAGTTAATTAGTCAAGTATTAGATCCCTTAGAAAAAAAATGTCTATTTCTAGTCAGGGAAAGTCACATTTAAATGACTCATGGTTTCACAGCTGCCAATTTTCAGACACCCTGTTAAGGCTAATCATGAAATGCAGGACAAGAGGTCCCGATGCTCCTGTCCCCACATCCAGTATCAGTGCTGGTCCCTTTCATGCCACCTGCCACCAAGCCTACCCTCTCCAATTCTGAGCAAAGGGTCTGATAAAGCAGCAAGACCACTGAGTACAATGCTCAGAAACTCCCGAAGAATTGAGTCAGAGAAAGGAAACATGAGCCTACTGTGAGACAGGATGCAGCGAGCCATCCTTCCCGCACAGGACATGGCACTGCTATTGAGAGGACAGACAGATGTCAGAAGTGAGGCTCTCTAGAAGGAGAAAGATGCAGGAGGCTAATGACTTGGAATAAACAGGGGCTCAAAGTTTAGGTTAGAAGGGCTCCTCTCAGTGTTTGTTCCCACCACAGAAGGTAGGGTTTCATGAAGGGGGACTGTCTAGGTCTTCCTGGAGCTCTCCTGGAGCTTCTGGGAGCAGAAGCCAGGAACATGAACTCTTTCAGTGGCAAGAATTTGCCACTAGTCTCTAAAAATTTGCTATTTTCCAAGATAATAGACACAAGCATTCTAATGTTTCTGGACAAAACAGGCATGTCTGGAATAAGAAGCAGGATGGTCATTCCCTGGGGGACCCTCAGCTACTGTAGCCTTTATTGATCTGTTTTTACGGTAAATAGGATTTTTTTCCCATTATTTCTTTCTTAGGAAGTTAGCTATTATATATAGAAATATAAGTGATATTTCTGTATGTTAGTTTTGTATTCTGATATTTTGCTGAAGTGAGTATTAGGTCTCAGGGCTTTCTGATCAAGTCTTTAGAATATTTTAAATATAGGATCGTGTCATCTAAAAATAGGGATCCTTTTGCTTTTTCCTGTATTATTTGTGTCCCCTTTACTTCCTTCTCTTGTCTTGCTGTCCTAGTTATGACTTTGAGCACTACTGAGTAAGAGCAGAGAATGGGCACCCTTGTCTCATTCCTCATTTCAGAGGAAATGCCTTCAGTTTTCCTCATTTAGTATAACGTTGACTAGAGATCTGTCATGTATAGCTTTTGTTATGTTGAAATATATTCCTTTGATTCTTAACTCTCTTCATTAAAGGATTCTAAACTTTGTCAATGGCCTTTTTGTATCTGGGTTGATTATGTGGTTTATTTCCAAAAGTTTATTACTTTGAGTTTCTCTCCACCTAATTTAATGCTGGCTCTTGGCTTGCTGTAAATTTCTTTTATTATATTTAGATATGTTCCTTGTATCTGTCCAAAGACCTTTTTCGTGAAGGGTTTTGGATTTGTCAAAGGCTTTTTCAGCTTTTAATGAGATGATCATTTGCTTTTTTTTTTCTTTCAGTTTGTTTATATGGTAGATTACATTGACAGATTTCTGTATGTTGAACCAATTCTACATCTCTGGGATAAAGACTATTTGGTCATGGTGGAGGATTTTGTGTGTGTGTGTGTGTGTGTGTGTGTGTGTGTGTGTGTGCGCGTGTGTGTTCTTAGATTCAGACTGCCAGTATTTTATTAAGTAGTATT